CACTAGGCCCAACCAAGCTGGGTGTGGATGTGCTGATCAGATACTCACCGTCGGGCGTGTTTTTCAATTCCGCCATGGATCCCAGCAACTGACGGGAGTCTCCTTTGTTGACTTCGCCGCTGCGTTCGATTCCGTCCATCGTGAGTCCCTGTGGCGAGTAATGCAACTAGATGGTGTGTCGGCCAAAATTATCGCCATGATTAAGAACTACTGTCGCTCTATAGCTGCCATCACTTCCAACCGTTTGATATCCGATCTGGTGTTCGACATGGTTGCATCCCGTCGTTCATCCTTTTCAACTACGTCATCGACTGAATTCTCGGAGGGACCCCATAAGGTCTTAACGTTGTGGATTTTTCACCCGGACGCCAGCTGACTGAAGTGGACTACGCTGACGATGTTACCCTGCCAGCCTCAACTTTGGTGGTCTACAGCCACGAGTGAATGAAGTCGTTACATCAACCACTTTACCCACATTAGGGTTATTCTGTCATGACAAAAATAACTACGCCTGTGATATGCCATAGGACGACTAAGCAGCTGTAAGTGCTGGGACATGCAGTGCACCCACCTTGATATCTCTTCAGCTTGACTTAGTGTCGCCATTGGGTCTCGAGGAGGTCGGAAGGAGTAACTGAGACCGACCCAACGCAAATCTCTCTCGATAATCCAGTTCAAGCCTACATATTCACCTTTTAGGATAATTCTCCTGAAGACTGATCGGCATGTTAGTCGACTGTCTGTGATTGAAAGCCAGTTTAGAACACACAAATCGTGGCCTTTCACCCTCTTTTTCTTCTACCCATTTTTGCAAGTCCTATTAAGTTCTAAGGTATGACAGTTTTGTTTGCCGCCAGTTGATTCTAAAGTGGATCTAGAATAGGAGCACAGATTCTGCTTTTTGACCCACTTTTTGCTTTTTCTTCCCACACTCTTCAGACGCAGACACCAGAGTGCGTCAGAGAGACGCCCTCGACATGCTCGCAATGACGGTGACGTGTGGCATCGGTTGGGCTAGAGAGTGTCGATAACAGCGTTCATCCATCTGCGCTTTTTCCTTTGAATTTGCTGGCGGCGACGCCCTTGTTATCTCCCAGTGTGCTTCCTACACCGTGATAAAGTACCCACCTTCGCCCACTGGAGAGAAGAGCGTAGGCACCGAGGCCCGCCGTCGACCCTTTTCTACCCTGATGGCACCACCCTCCCACCCGAGCGGGCAATGAGAATCACCAGACTGTGAACTTTGCGCTGTCATTGCTGCTGCTGCCGCTATTACTGTTCTTTTTCTTATTGTGCAGCTTCTGCCGCTTCGTCCTGGTTTGACTTTAAGAATTATTCCGAAATTCTCTATATCAAACGAGTTCAATCGTTCCTCTTTAACTACACACCGCACTGGTCTACTTGCCTCTTGTATTTGTCATCGTCCCGTCCCAACCCTTCTCTTCTTAACCTACCAGTCCTAGGACGTGCTCCTGGTAGATTTCCAGGAAGTGTTCGATCTCAGGGACTGTGTTTCTTCGGGCTTAACTTCCCTCAACTCCATCTTCCATTCGTCTTGCTCCCTTCGCAAGAGAAAGTATTTTACCTCCCTCGTCCCTTCTGGCTCATTTCCCCTCGGGTTGTAGAGTGTTGGGCAAGCCTGGGCAGTAAGCGAAAGAAGTTCCTTCCTGACACCTTTTGCCAACTTTCTATCACTGGGTCGTTTTAATGACCTTGAGCCATCGGGGTCGTAGGAGTACTCAATATGCCGTTGGTATGTATTTCACCAATCCTGCCGGGTAGTAGCGTGGGATACGAGCGTCCCCTTGTTTACCCTGGAGCATCTGCCTAGCACGTTTGCTGACAGTCCAAACAACAGGAACCAATATTTCGGGATTATCGGCGACCTCTAGAAGTGAGTTAGCGTTGAGGACTTTCAAGTATGGGAGTCGCTACATTTCACGCGTCTCCTACGCGTTCCATTCTCTGTTGTTACCGCTGCTTCCTAATTGTTCTTTGCTGTACTTGATGCGGCTGTGAACATGTCCTATTTGGCCTATCTCAACGCGCGGAACCATATACAACAATGAGTTCTGCGAGCCCTACCTTCTGACCCCTCCAGCGGGGCGACTAAATGTTGGAGATCAAAGAACCAAGTCCGTGTTTTGACGAACCGTCAGGCAGTAAGTTGACCTCTCTTAGACGCCTCCAGGTGGGCGGGTTGACGGTTCAAGGGCAGCTGTAGAGAATTCCGGCAAGCGACGAAGGGCACTAACAAACCACCCTAGTCGTCTTTTCTAGACGCGCCTTGCATGTGATGCATCTCAACCAGGCCAGTTCTTTTATATTTTTGCGAGTAAGTTACCCCAGTGGCAGACATGAGCCAACGTTTCTATTAATCGTCACGAAATGCCTAGCAGAGGTGTTTCTTGCCACCCTAGCAGCAGCTGTTCCTGAAGCTTCGCTAGTTCACATGTGGGGTCACGCGGGTGTGGAGTTTCCAGCATCGATGGTTGCAGTTCGGCCTGAGTGTTTCTAGCCCTCGTGTGTGTGCGCACGAAACGGAGCGTAAGTCCTGTTACGTGCGGGCACATCGAACCGAGGACTTGGGCACGAATATTTGCGAAACAGTGAGATTGCAAACTGGAAAACATCGGTTTGAACATTCCCAACTTGGTTTTCAGGTTCGAGAATGCCGGAAGTGAAGGGCAGCGAGAGAGAGAAATATGACTGCACCATCTGGTCCTTGTTGTGGCACTGGTTAATTCGACTGGAAGACTTCTGAGGAAGACCTCTGATGACATTCGCTATCACCAATACTCGCGAATTTGAGCAATTTCATCAGAGCCTGACTGGTGTCTCCTCAGCTATACGATTTACTCTCTAAGAAACAGCAGGAGATACCCTCCTGTTTAAGACGTGAATATAAAAAGGTTCAGTGAACGTGGACGCCCAACATGCGTCCACCGAAAAGATCCCAATACCGAAATTATCCTTAACCAGGAAAGCAGCCACCCTGTGGCCCATAAAAGAAGCTGTGTCCGGACTCTTCCACTGGACCTTCCGTTACTGCAGTAGCGATGACCTACTTAAAAAGGACTGGCGCACTTTTATCGGTTATTCTGAACCAACAGATTTTCGCTCGGCTTTGTGAAAAATCGTTTTTAGACGCCACAGACAAACACAACGCCAATATCAGGCCTATTCGCAGAAATAATACTAAAACAACTAGAACAGGACGTTATGCGAATCTTTAAGCCAAAAATGTGGCTCTGACACGTGGATTATACGTTTGTTATCATGAAGTCCTGTGAAATTGAGCAATTGCATATGAGTCTGAATAGCCTTTTCCCGGCTATCCAGTTTACTTGGGGCAGTCTCAGAAGCATTCACAGTGGTTGACAAGGTAAAGTAGTGCTGAGTACTCGTTCCCATCTTCGCCAGCTGCATGTTCTCTACCATACTGTTTGACGCCTACCGTTAGGAGCATGCCGGGACCAGCATCTCTTACAGGTCTGTCGATCAGCTTCTCAATATCCAACGGATGCTGTCATCTATGAGACTCTCCAAAATCACCTTCCTCTTCGCGTACGACTGTGCACACGGGCCAAGGCCAAAACAGCTATGTAAGGGAGCATACATATATCTTCGTCTCCGACCGGGCTAACTTCGGCTTGACCATCAGCAGCCAAAACAGTGATCATTCACCAAACAGCACCAGCGGATGCATACATTATGCTTATGATCAACGTGAATGGAACTCGACTCGCACTGGTGGACAAATTTGCCTGTCGTCTTTCTCACCACTTTGCTCATTAGTACGGACAGGCTGGCTTCTTCCTTTGCGTGCGGCCACAAGTGCTCATGCAGAGGGTTTCCTCCTAAACTTGTGGCTGCTAGGGTTCTGGTCACATGGGTCGTAAAATTGTAAAATATAGTTACTAGGTAATTTTAAGTAGTTGTTATTAAACCGCTGAAGTTAACTGGCAATTTAATTAATTGGCCGGGGACGGTTCAAGTGAATGGGAATAAATCTGTATTGCTCGCCCATCGTCTCATAGTGAGAAATATTTTTTCAGTAAACCCGCAAACTGACCGCAAGTCAAGAAAATCCTTTGCAAGGTGATAGGCGTATTGTGATTTGGTAGGCCTCCTGGAGCAAGCGAACTCTGGTATTTAGTTGTAGAACCGGCTTTAGATGGTTGGGTGACGAGTTAAGGTCTTGTAGCAAAACGAAGCGGCCAAAGCACTCATTGAAAATACAGCGGTATCACCGAGTCAATCGCTTCGCTCTTCACCAAATTTTACGAAATCCATGTTTAGTTTGGCACATAATTCACGTAGGTTTTGTAGAAACCAAAGAATTTTATGATCAACTGTGAGTGGCTTCGTTTTCCGATCTGACCGCCCTCCGACTTCTTCCGGTGAAAGGGCAGGCGTTCGCAAGTGAGTCAGTAACTTCTGGAGCTCTCAAGACTGTACAGGAATGAGATTTATTTCAAAAGTAGAAGAAACCCTGTATTACATTGACAAACGCACTAGGTGAAGCTAGAATTTGTGAGAACATATAGGATTACACCTGTCCATAGGCTAATCAAGCATCGTCCTTGCTAAAATAACTACTAAAACAGTACGCACTTTTTATGCTGATTCTAGATGCCCCCCCATTAACTCGACCATTTTTAAGAAATAATATTCAACAATTTCCCTTTCTGTCATTTATATTGCAGTAAATTATGTCTTCCCTCAAATTCAGTACTCGAAAAATGGGAAGCCTCGATTTTAAAAGGGTTGGATACCAGTGTCGCAACACTCCGTTACTGATGCTATTATTATTGCAGTTAGTTACCCATACTGTAAGCGTTGGTAGAGTAGCATTGGCAGCCGTGGTGGCGGTTTTAGTAGTAGTAGTAGTACTAATGGTAGGATTATTAGTAGTATTCTCCGTATCAGTGGGGGTAGACGGGGGAAAAAGTTTTCTTCAGCGTTGCGACACTTTATTCCCGCCAGTGGTAGTAGTATTAGTAGTAACAGCGGTAGAAGTGGTAGTAGTAGCAGTAGTAGCAGTGGTGGTAGTAGTAGTAGTAGTAGTAGTAGTAGTAGTAGTAGTAGTAGTAGTAGTAGTAGTAGTAGTAGTAGTAGTAGTTGTAGTAGTAGTAGTGGTAGTAGTAGTAGCAGTAGAAGTAGTAGTAGTAGTAGTCCGCCCGTAAGACAGGCTGGTGGGGGAATAGACAATTCTAAGTGTTGCGACACTGTATTCCCGACTTTAAAAGTTTTTAAATAAGAGATTTTATATGACGGGGAAGCGTTCAGTTAAATAACATTGCACCCATCTGTTTATAAATGTTCCATGTGAAGTATACAACTTTGCTCGTATCAATTGCAACATCTCATAAGACACGTATTGGACCTTCTTATTATCATAAAGAAGTATATGATCGTTCTTAAATAAAAAGTGGATAGTTTGTATTTTCGAAACCTTACACGCTGGCTCAAAATTATTCCGGGACTGAAAACCCTTTTGACTCTTCAAGACACGCTTCTTAAGTATGAAATTCAAAGAAGACTTGATTTTCTACAAAATGCATACGAACACAGTTTTGTGCATATTTTTAGAGTATCTTTGGGTTTACGAAGACATCCAAAGTTAATGAAAGATCGTGATATTTAAGCAGTCATTTTTTGGTGCGGTCTTTGCTGGTGGCCATTAAGACGCAGATTCAATAGCGGACCTCTGGGGATGACTGATATATCTTGGTATTGTACTACACGACAATCAGTCTTACGATCCCATCTAGGTAATACTTTCTAATTGAAAATACGTGTTAGAATTTGAGTTAGCATTTCAAGAGATACGTCGCCCACCATACACATTAACGCTCGCACTTTTATTTCATTTCCAGAGTAGAAACTCCGTAATTTACCGAAGTTTACCAACCCTGTGCACTTTTTCGCATACCATATATAATGCTCAAATCCTAAAGGACTTTTGTCGAGTTCTGCAGATTTCTTCAATGTCCTCTAATTTGCGAATGTTGCCCGCTTATCTGTCAAGTTAATAATGGCACTTAATAGGTATATATCTTCCGCAGCCAGCTGAGTTAGGGTCATGTGTAGGTATTCCAGCATTTGTGATTTGGTACTGGGTATACTACTTTAGTAGTTTGCATAGCCGCAAGCGGCCCCCCAAGCTGCTCTTGCTTGCAATCCCGTCCTCGCGCCAACAATTTTAGGCCTGCAGGGCCTTGCTGTAGGAAGGGTTACCGCATGCATGCGTCAAAATGTTGTCGTTTATAACGGACTATTGGCCGGCGCGGCCTGCTCCTTTATAACGGCTGCTCTTTTGTCTTCCGTATCGAAAACGTCTTAAAGGTAGAGACGCTCAGAGTAGCCCATTGTCTCCTAATCGCAGAGTTTACGTCCTAAGAACAGTCAAACAACAGCGAAAGAACTGCTCGATGGCAACAATTTCGTAAAACCATGTCTCCTGTTATACGTGCAAAATCAGCAGCAAAATCCTGCGACACCAATCGTTTTCTTATCCACAGTGCAGAACAAAGCCACCTTTGATCTCCGACTTACGGACCGCACAAAACTCCTGGCCTGTAACTCTAGCTTATTTCTCTGACTACGTCATCCGCTTGTCGGCAAAAAAGGTAAGTAAAGCGATTTTGTGGCGCCTTTGTTTTAGCGCGGAAAACTTCGCTTCCGACTGACTTAGATGTCGGCTGGATAACCTATACGAAGTCTAGACATGTTTGCGATTCAGCGCCCTCCAAAATCAGGCATAAAACACGTGCTTCAGTATGCAAATTGGACCGGTAGTGGTCGTGTGACGTTAGCATTCGGTCTGCATTTCCGGTCACCGCAGCGCTGCGGCCGATGCTACCTAAAAAGCCTTCGTTTGAGATGTAGACGGATCGTTTGAGGTGTCGGTCTAGTCCTCTTTTCATTGCTTTCCTTGACGTTGGTCTCTCAGTATTACTTCTTGCAGGTTCTTCCTTACCCTCTTCTACTTCTCCTTTTTCTCCGCCGTCTTTTGTCCCACCACCACTAGCCTCTCCTCTCACGTTGCTTCTCGGTATTTCTTCGCCGTTGCCTAATTACGCTCTTTTTCTTCAGCTACCCTTTCACCAACCACTCCCCCACTTCCGTCGACCGTATTAGCAGTTCTTCTTCCGTCCCTCTCTCTCTCACGCATACACACTCACACAAACACACCCTATTTCTGTCACCGCCCCTCCCCTGTGCCAAAAACGACGCTGTGTGCAATACTCTCCGGCGTCGAGTGAGTAAGCGAATTAGTAAGACTCCCTCTTTGCCTCCTTTCTTTCCACCGCCTACGCATTCACAACCACTCACCTGTGCTTTTTCGCTCTGCCCTTTGCTCACCGCAAAAATGCTCATGTATAGTTTTATTCCGGTGACACAGGGAGTGTGATTTGTCTCAAACGAGCCTGTTCTACATGTTCTGGTAAATAATTTACCTCAGAAACAAACATGATTTAATGTTTCTGCTAATCGTTACAAAATGCATGGCGGAAGTTTTTCTTACCCACTTAGGCCTCCACCTATGCCTTGAACCACTATGGAGAAGGCTGGAGGAACTGCCGAAGAGCCGAATCTCTCACATTTGTGCCATGCAAGAGTAGAATCCTCAGCGGAACAAGCGCCTGAACTCTTAACCAGTACCTATGCCTGGAGTGTGTCGAAACCATCACCTTTCTCTCTCTCTCTCTCTCTCTCACTCACTCACTATATATATATATATATTTAGTCAAATGCGTTCTTTGGGAAAAGCGGGCAGCTTTATTGGGCACGTTTTAGAAGCTAATTATCCAGATCGTCCTCAGACGGTCAGTAAATTCTCTAACACCACTTAAAATTTTTGACCTGCTTAGAAACTTGGTACTTGTTCGGTGATCGCGCCAGTGAACGGCTGCTGTGTGTGTCAATATATCCTGACTGCCTTTCGTCTCTCCCATTTCTCCTTGAGATTTTTGTACGCGACATCCAACTCAATATGCCGGTTGATGAATATTTCATCTGAATGCATGACCTCGAGAAAATCTCAGCCCATCTCGAAAGGACAGACACCGATAATGCGAGTTCTGTCCCAAGCAAAGATGTGTCCGGTGGGTAGGCATTTCATAAAAATTGATTAAACGGAAGTCAGATTTATTTCTTTCACTTAAGTGGTAGCAAATCACGTCTTCTTTAGACTTAATGCTGGAATAAAGTGTATCTTTCGGCTTCTAAAAAGTTTCTGATTATGAGATTTTTAAGGCCACGTAATGTTCTTTTGAGCAGTATCGTATCCGTCCGTCACATAATGCAACGTAATTCACGTCCGTTGAAGCATAATTGAACCCCATATAGTATTTTCTTAATGACGTGCAGTTAGTTATGTTCTTCTTTTCATTGAAAACCCTAAACAAAAATACAGCAGGAGATCGAGCACAAAATTATTCGGGGGTAGCAAAACCGGCAAGGGGCGACTACACTGTCCTGGTCCCAAGTGTAAGCGCAATGTGAACATTGAAAGGAAGGTAAGCCGAAGAGAGATGCTGAAATCGTTAGGAGGCAAAGTAGCCGAGGCTGAAACGAAAAGGCGACCCGGTGCCTATATTTCCCGCAAGAGACCTGGCTGACAGGACACGAAGGGCATCAATACTCCCAAACCTGGCGGTAAACCTAACCGTAACCTCAAAAGTAGGCCTAATACTTAATGTAATCATAAACCTAAAGCCAACCCTAAACTTCACACTAAACCTAACCCTAAACCTACCGCAAACCCTGGCTCTAACCTTGAGCCTTCCATTAACTCTGGCCCAAATCCTAACCCTAACCGTAGCCTTAACCATAACCTTAACCGTAACTCTACCCTAGCACTAACCCTAACCCCGACCTCGACACTAAATGCAAACTTTATCCGCAATCCAAACCCTAACTTAGACCGGGGCCCTTAAGCTTACCACAAACCCTAACTCTAAACTCAATTCTCAGCCTGACACCAACCCAAACCCTAAGAATAACCCTAACTCTAAACCGAAATACCAGGTTGTCCTTTTCCTTTTATAGCTTTGGCTTCTTTCCCACAAACGATTTCAGCACCCTCTTCCGGCTTAATCTACTTGCAATGCCCACACTGCACTTACATTTGCGACCAGGACAGAGCAGCCGACCCCTACCGAAAAACTTTTTTAAAACCGAGAGATACCCGTTCTTCGAGCATGGAGTTTGAAGAGGACGTGATTTGCTGCCAAATGAGTGAAAGAAGTAATATGTAAATTGAGGTTTTCCATTAACAAAATACTCGAATCCACAAGCGCATCGAAAATCGATGGAGAAAGTGCACACTACAAAAGTTGTTGCTTTTTACCGAGTGCAGTGATTGCAGGCGGCCGAAAAGAAGTGTACTCAAAATTCAACACCCTGGCGTGTCTGAAATATTACGGGATTACGTCGCATGATAGAAAATATTACATCCTTAATCATGTTATCTTTCGTGATCGAAAATGCATTTTTAAATTTCGGTTAACATTTCATGAGATTGGTCGCTGACTGTATTATTTACGTAACACACCCATTATGGTGGGTTAATTATGGGAAGACCTATAGCTTCTAATGTCTGCATTATTGCTTTCACCAAGAAGGAGCATGGAAGCGAACCTGTAGGTGTGCATTTTATTTGTCGATGGTATGGCTTGACGAAGGAAAGGTTAGTTTCTGGACGAGGATTTAGCAGTTGAGGCAAACTGTTCGCAAGTGCATCTGTGATGCAAGCCCGAAGAAGTTTATCACTGCAGCTTTTCGCTAAATCCAACAGAATAGAGTCGAAGAGCGAGGATACGCAGAACGAGAAGGCCAGAATCATCGGCCGGACCTGACTGGTTCGCGAAAGATAACCCTCGAATGACAGTTGGTCGAGCCATGGACCTGCATCCCGCCTATTAGTCGTCACCCCCACGGCACGAATCAGTTCCTACAGGCAGGAAAAGTCACGCGGGACCAACAGCTGATGCACGCGGAAAATAGGGAAGGCGCCAGCAAGAGATCACGTGACCACCATAGAACCGCCTCACTGACGTGCTCATTATGCCGACGGCAATTCATACAAGAGGCAACAACTAATCAGCTCGAGGATGACGAAAGAGACGTCGAGAAGCATACTAACTTCGCAACAACTACAAAGGCCGAAAAGGGGAGAAGGTTCATGTGAGTCCGCCAGCGGTCGGTCAGCCAAGAGTTCAGGAAACGTGCAATTCAAAGTTCATGAGGCGTGTACTGTTATAGTAGGCGCCAGTCATTGAGGTCGGCAGGAATAACCACCGTGCCACGCTGATGAGGGAAACGAGGAAGATTCCGAAAACATCCGTACAGATATAGATCGGTCTAACTTAACCTCCCTTGCCATTGTCAGGACGCCTTCCTGCACGAATACTGGTTGTTATTCCTCTCCCCACGAGGGCCGTAGACGGGGTCCAAAGGCGCAACAGGACGAGACTATCTCGTAACCTAATCTGTGAACTGAAGCTTACACAATTGCAACCATTTTTTAAGTTTTCGGAATTTTCCGATTTTCTAAAAGAAACATGATATTTCTAAACAAAGCAACGTTACCTTCAATAGTTCTTTTATGTTTTTAACTCGCCTAATGCTGTTATTTACTAACATAAGTATTGGGGTCCTCGCATTTCTGTCGGTTTGAGAGTGATTAACAATCATCCGAAAATGTCGACATTTTTCATGAAGTAGGTAACACACTGTTCATTTGTATATGTTTAAAAACGGGCATCCTGGAAAATTTAATTAGGAAGTAATTCAATTCTTTGGGAAAAATACAGCTTTATTGCTCTTAATGCGCCCAGATGACACATTACCAATCTACATAACGATTTAGATGCCACATACAAAATTCTCCAGGAGAATTGCAAACGAGCACAGACTACCCCGGAGACGTGACGAGATGCAATTAACGCGTTTTGGTGCGGACGTCGGCCAACAGTAGGACCCTTTGTTAGACACGTCTAATCAGTTAATTGCTTTTGCCCACAACCGATAGGCTGCCGAGGAGTTTGGGGCCAGCCTCGAAAAGGTACTCAATAATGCTCTGTTTTTCCCAAAGGATTTAGTCGCTTCATAAATATATGAGGTGCGAAACCTATCAAAAGGAAGGTCTCGAATTTTCACAAAAAAGCCTAGTGGCTCATGAACTTCCCACCCCATATCCCGAGAGTTATCCAGCATTAAATGAACAACCTATTTTCAAAAAGGCATAGCTTGGTTCGTGAAGTATCATATATCTTCTCCTTATATCTTATCTTTCTTTTTATATAGGAAACTGGAAGTGTTTTTGTGTGTTGCCGGTAATCTCGGAAAGTACTGCACCGATTACGCTGAAATTTTGACACAACCTTGCCTGCGCATAGAGCCGGGTTTTTTTATGTTTACCTTCATAGTCATGCAGATGGGTAAAAAATCGAATTTTTTCTTCTGGCATAACAACGCCACCTGCTGACGCGCTGGTCTGCGGCCACTTGACCGGCAGCCACTCGGACACACGTGCGTCCGTCGAACCACTTCGACCGATATCCGCTCAAGCACACGTGTTCCACTCCCATGGCCACGCTCACCCCACCCCCCCGCATATACTTGAACATGCCCCACCCCCTCTGGGCTGATGCAATATGGGCCGATAGGGCTAACCACACATAAGGAAAAAGACATGCAAGTCTTGGCACACAACCGGCTGTCACCGCTTCCGCTGGGATTCTCCGGCGTGACGACTGGATGCAGTTAACACCACCCCCTCCTCACAACCTCGGTCAGTGGATCGCACCCGGCGGAAGAACTGCTCATTCAACTTTGTAATTGCCGTTGAACATGCAATTCATTGAAACTCATACGTGTAACATTTCCAAGGCATCCGGCATGGAAAAACTACTGCAGAAATGCAAATTTAGTGTTTGGTATTAATATATAATGGTACACAAAAAACGGTCGAGGCCCTTGACCGATCATTACAAGATTTGCGCGGAAACAGTAGACCATTTGGAAACGCATTGCTACTGCTTGCAGGAGACTTCAGGCAAATACTGCCGGTGAATCCTCGATGCACACCATCGGACGAAGTAAATGCCTGCCTGAAAACCTCTACTTTGGGGCGTCACGTTCAGACGTTAAAATTAACTGCACATATGCGTGTTTCAGTTGTAAAACGACTGATCACCTGAGATAACCTCGCACCAATTGCTGGTAATAGGGAATGGAACGGTGCCGGTTGATCCGACTTCGGAAGCATTTCGCAACCTACTACCCTCGGCAATTTAGTCTCATCAAAATAAGAATAGGTTGCAAAGGTATTTCCAAACATTTCGATGGGACTGAGGTCAGGGCTTCTGAGTAGGATAAACTTGCTTCGCAAACCGCAAGCTGAAGGGGTACCTGTGGTCTAGAAATTCAGATTATTGTCATAAACTCAATGCGAGTCATACCTCTTTTGAGCGCTGAGCAGGGGCATTATCCAGCAAAATAGCAACGTCCATTCACTGTCAATGACTACTGTTGTATCCGAAAACATTCCTCAAAAATATCTACGAACACCCTGCCAGTGATGGTCTCCGTTGTCGACCGCCGGAATGGTCGCTCTCCGAATTGGATGGTCATCCAAACAATCAGGCGTCGACATTTCTTGAAGGTTGCTGTTGATACAGAGTGCTCTCGTGGGAAGCTCTACCCCATGGGTCGATTTCGGAGGCTTGCCTGAAAATAAGACCTCGTCACAAGTGTAAATCCTCTTCTAGAATGAAACTCTGTGATCAATATACTCTTGAGCAAACAACAAACGTGCCCTTATAAATTGCCTACTTACAAATGATTACGTCATGGCGTTTTGCTGATGAAGCTCGAATTCTTTCCTCCTTCCTCTTATTATGCTTGGAGGAGGCATTAACAAATGTTACCCGCAAATAGCCTCAAGGGGGATATAGTAGTACTTTTTTAGTGTGTGACGGATAAAATCGTCCTCCTGCTTGCTTATGGACTGTTTTGGCTCGCCTTGCTTAATTATAGGCACTTATATTATTAGTAATTTTTGACAGAATGACCTGACTAATACCGAAAATATTGTCCAACGACTCATACATCGGCATTTCGACTGCCAGGTTTCGTGACGACATATCGCGGGTACTCAATATACATCTGTTTGGGTTTACTAATTATCGCTGTGGTAACACAAGCTACTATCGGCCAAGCTTATTACTGCATTTTTTGGCAAAAGTCACAAGTTTACCAAAGAAAATTTTTAAAACTTAATCCGCTCCTTGTTTTTTGAAAATAATGGGATTTCGCATTTCTGAATCCACCTGATTTTCACGGGTGCAAAATCCCATTTTTCGTTTCCAGGAGAAATTAACCTGAAAAGTTCTTGGCTTATTTTGATTTTTCTTTGTACCATAACGCGCAAAAAAGAAGAGGCTTTAACATATGATACTAACTAACGTTAAAAATCTTTTGAATACCAGAAAAAGTCCGATATTTCCTAATCATAGCCTGTCTTCCTTCCGTAAAACAGATGTGAAATGAATTCTTCTTTCCTAAGAGACATTCTGTGATTCGAATCAGTTAAATAGACAAGGATAACCACGCGAATTGCGTGCGGCACTACCCTCTCAAATACCCGTCAAGACATTTAATTAGTTAGGTCGTCTACTATATACGCATATGAGGACCATTTCGGACTTATTAGCCGTCGTCAGCCAGTCACACCCAACCCCGATGTGGGGAACACCTCGGGCTAAAGAACGCGACCTGTTGTTTCCCAGGCGTTCCATGCCTCGAGGTTGAGTATGACTGGCTGGCGAAGGCACAACCAACCGAGCTATAAACCTACATCCCGCCTAGTAGGTTGTACGCACGAGGTTCGGATCAGTCCAGACAGAGCCAATAGGGCAAGCGATAACGCGGAAGCAAGAATCGACGCTCACGGAAACATGGAGGTGGCGGCCGAAGGTCACGTTACCAATGTCGAATATTGTCCCACCGATTCGTCCGTGAGGCTGGAAACCACTCACACTAACAGCGACGACTGGTCAGTCCGCCGAGTGACGGGGGGAGGCCAACAGGTCCGCGGGTCCGGCCCCAAAGGGGAAAAAGATCACGCGGACCCGCCAGCGGACAACCTTGAGGAGGTCAAATCCACCCAGCGG